ACACTCTCTCTCTCTCACTCACACACACTCTCTCACTCTCTCTCTTATTCACACACACTCTCTCTCTCTCACTCGCGCACACACTCACTCACACACACTCTCTCACTCACTCACGCTCTCTCTCTCACTCACTCACTCACTCTCTCTCTCACACTCTCACAAGAGCATTTTTGCAGTAGCTCTTTAGCATCACTGTTGAAGAGTAATTAGTTATCATGAGAATAGTAATGTTTGAAGCAGATGTCATAAATGTCAGCAGGCTGAGAAGATTTTAAAACGACTTTATTGATAACTGTATATTATTCCATATTACAATGCTGCTTCTGAAACACACTGACATGAAATACTGATTCAAATTGAAATTAATTTATTGCATGAGAAGACGAGAGACTGCAAAGCTGTCAAGGGGAAAAAAAATAAAAGTCCTGATCAACTTGGTGTTTATTTTGTGATAATGACTGGCTGACGGTACACGGTCCTGCTTATTACACGGCTGCTTAAATAAATGGACATAAAATATTGATTTGAGTTGAAATTAATTTATTAGCTTATACTCGTAGAGACAGCAGCGAGACAGAACACAAGCTCTGCTGTAATAAACAGATTTCCCAATTGAGCGGGTCGGTTACACAGCGCTGTCATTATTCAGAATATCTGACCTCTGGATTCTACAATTGACATCGGAATCAAGTATTCCAGGGAGCCCAGCAATAATTGTGTTTCATTATTAGCAAAACAAAAATGGACAGAAATGAATCGCTGGCTCTCAGGAGGATGCACTGGGATCACACAAAGGGATCAGATGACAGGTTTTCTGCAGACGAGGAAGTGAACAGTGAACGGGGCAGAGCAGGCTGCTAGAGGACGAAAGTGAAGAGCCTGAGATTATATTCAACCGAAACCGGGCGGTGCACGCCTTCCACTCGCCCCTCCTCTCGTTACCTCCATCAGACTGAGCAGGTGGTATTTGGCACTCGGGGTGGTTTTGTGTGCGGACTGCATGATTAAAGATCGTCCAAGCGTACACAGACATGTTGCAAAAACCTACCTTAAATAAATTTAAAATAATATATACAGACTGAATCACACAGAAGTGTGTCGTCTAGTGTGCAGTGGAGTAAAACCACAACCAGAACAAATAGTTCATGCAAATAACTGTCAAAAACAAGCAGCAAACTATAGTAAAAGAAATTCACTAACACTTTAGTTTAGGGAGCAATTCTCACTATTAACTAGTTGCTTATCAACATGCATATTACTAGCATATTGTCAGTTTATTAGTACTTAAAGCAAGGCTTATTCTGCATGAGCATATTTTAGATCCCTTAATCCTAAACTTAGTTACTACCTTACCAACTATTAATAAGCAGCACATTAGGAGTTTAGGGAGGCAAAAGTCAGTAAAATAGTGAGAATTGGTCCCCAAACTAAAGTGTAACACTTTAGTTCCTACATTAGTTAACATGAACTAAGAATGAAAAATACTTTTATAGCATTCATTATTGTTAATTTCAACATTCACTCATACATGATTAAAGTCAAAAGTGGCATCTGTTAATATTTAATGGACCTGAGCTAACATGAGCTAACTAATGAACAGTAACAAAGATGAACAAATACTGTGATACTCATTAATTCATTAACTAACATGAACTAATGGAACCTTATTAACCCGAACGTGTTTCCAAAAATTCTGTTTGCCTACTAACACCTCGTTCTCTACAAATCAGATACCCAGCTGTGGCGCTCTCTCGTTTACTCATAACATTTCTTCATTGTTTTCAAAAGATTGTACTAAAGATAAAGGAAGTCACATAAAGAGGTGACTGCTCGTCATTGGTTGTGTTTCTGTGACTCACTGAACAAGTCGAGACATGTCCCACAGACACCTCAGGGATGTCTAAACTCAACCACCCTGACGGTGTTCTTTAGCACTCAATTATACTTTCAAGACATAAATTTAGATTTCACTTTGTTTAATAGCCTATGACCCATTTCAAATGTATTTAAAATGACTGAATTATCAATTATGTGCAATACAAGTAGTTTTTGCAAACCAATTAATTACTGATTTACTCGAGTCTAATTTCTAATCTTCCTTTACAATGCAGTTTCAGTAAAAGTCAACCGATCTAAAACTCAGACAACAGACAGATCCGTTGCATCAGACAAACATAGAACGCAAAGTCACCGAAGCTTAACAGCACACAAACAGCCCGAGTTTCTGTGTTAAGGCTTTTGTTCACAGGTAACAAGCCATGTCATCCGTCTATCAGCACTGGTGCACAGAACAGCCTCGTTCAACCAGACAGAAGTCACCATGCTTCAGTCCCAACCATTGCATTACACCGTTCCCAAATGGGTTTAGATCAAACAAACCGGCAAGTGTGATGAAGCCAGACTAACCCAACCTCGAGGGACTGCGGTTGGTGTTACAATGCTCATTAAAGCCTAATCGAGGCAAATGAAAAGCGGGAATGTATCAAGGAAATGTTAGCAAATGTGATCTCAGCCATTTGCCTGACATTCATTAGAAAGGAAAGACAACAAGATTAATGGGGCATCTACTTGGGAAACAATCAGCATGGCATCAAACACCTTCTATTGTCCGCCAGGGGATAGGTGCTCCAAATAACACCAAACTAAGTTAAGGCCGCAAGTAACCACGCTGTTAGTCGAGTTAGCAGTTTTAACAACCACTTTCGAATCAACGTCCTAATCTGCCCCTCTGAGTAAGAGTGATTCTCAGAGAAATCCATTTAGGGTGCAACATTGTTGCCTCACATCCTGATAATGAAAGCGCAGGCGTTCAAAATTGTATTAAAGAATTTTATTTGCAATGTGTGCGGTTGCTCAGCATTGCAAGCAGTGAGAAAATGCTCAAAAAGAGGCAAGTACTGGCATCGCTAGACCCTAGCGATACTAGAAATACCTCTCTTGTACCCCAGTAAAATATTACTGATGAATCTTTGTGTTGCTGCGATTGCCGTTTACCGACCTGAGAATCTTTTCTTAGAATATTTTAGCAAACAAGTTGTGTGTTTTCTATCAGCCATTCAGAATCTGAACAAATAGGGATGTAGCGAATCAAATCGGTTGAGATGCCAAACAAATCGCGAAACAACTGGAGTAGGAGTTTATATGAATGTATCTCTGAGGGGAACTGACTATCTTTAGAAAAGTTTACGTGGTATTTTCTTTTCATCTTGTCTATGAACAATGCATATTAAAGTAGTGTTCATAAGCGCAGCTCTGCTTTGTTTACAGCGATAACCAAGGAAACACAGTATTCATATGAAGAGATTTCTTTTATTTGTGTAACTTGCTTGTTTGATTTGGGTTTATTTGATTTTAGTTTGGTTATATTTCAATTTCACAAAGAAACGTGCAGCGATAGTCTAATAAATCAACACCTTTTCTTCAATCTCATTTTGTTAAAAAAATCGTGAGAAAACCGAATCGTGAGTTGAGCGAATCGTTACATCCCTATGAACAAACAACGACAAGTTCACGAACGAATCACTCTTTTGATCTAATCCAGGGGTGTCCAAACTCGGTCCTGGAGGGCCGGTGTCTTGCAGAGTTTAGCTCCAACCCCAATTAAACACACCTGAACCAGCTAATCAAGCTCTTATAGGCATACTAGAAACTTACCAGCAGGTGTGTTGAGGCAAGTTGGAGCTAAACTCTGCAGGACACTGGCCCTCCAGGACCGAGTTTGGACAGCCCTGATCTAATCGGTCAAAGGAGTTTGCGCGATTGTGTTTGATTCATTGGGACAGTTCACTCACTCAGTAGTAACGGGAAATTTTAGATGACAGAAAGCTGGATGAGGTGGATATTTACCTACAATCCACTGTAAGAATCAAAACTTGTCTTCTATGAATTTAAATGTCTTCTATAGCTCTCTATAGTGCATGCAGCTTGTGAACGGCAGGAAAAGACGATTTATATCTAAAACAAAAAGAGTATCAAAATATGGGTACTTCGCTCTAGTGCTGATGAAAGGCTCGAAAGTCCCATGGTAAGTACTGGAAAACAAACCTTGTGGGTTTAGATTGTTGACAGGTTCCTTAGATTGTTCTCTTTGCACCTAAAAATA